TCATAACCCACTTGAATCAAACTGTGAAATATGATATATTAAGAACTACGTAATGTTTTGAAGGACCAACAATAAAAAATAAATAAAATAAAAGGTAAAAAACAAAAACATGTGCAAGAAATTGAAATTAAAAAAATGTTGATGCTTTTAAGACACCACCAGAGATTCTCTAATCAACCATGAGTGATAAACAGAAACATACTCAGAATGAATAACATTGAATAAATTGATGAGATGGATTTACCAAGTATTTTAAGACATCAGAAGGAACATTGTAAGGAAAATATTTTTTAAATATTTATAATCTTGTTTGCCAAGCAGACACTAAAACTTACATAAACTTAAATTCACTACATGTTTTATTTTTGAAAAAAAATGCCAAATTAAAAAGTGACTCTATAATAAAATTAATTAATATAAATAAAAAATTAATAGAAATAGGATTGATTCAATAATGCAATAGTATTTTAATGGTAAAGTATTTAAATGATTAAATACATATTATAATCTATATTATTCTATACCCTGACTTTGACAAAAGCATATTATATTCAATTATTTGTACTCTCAATTATTTAAGTATTTGTATTCTCAAATCAGAATTCGAGTTTTCATGCAGTCCTCACCTACACACCGAGGTGGAGGACTCCATTTGCCCATGTAGCATGTTATCTCATCTTCCTCAGAGGCTGTGAAACCATCTTCACAAATATAATTCAGTTTAGTGCCATGTGCATACTGTCTGGATTCAATTGCTTCTTTCCTTTCTTCTGAAGATCTAGATGGACTAATTCTTCCATGGTCTATGTCAGGTGGTTGAGAACATGAAAGTTTTTCTGTATGAAAAACAGAAATCAAAGGGTCAAACATAAATAAAATGTTTAAATTAAAACTAAAATCAAATACGATTTTTAAGTCTGTCATCACTATATCTATGCCATCCTATTGCCCCAAATCTCCCTTGATTTGTGTCTATTTTATTATATGAAAAATATTCATAAAGAGGAGGAATTTGTCTGCTGGTTACATAATATCCCAAAGAGTTGTCCAATTTTGTTCACAGAAATGAAAATTGGTGACTGGTTTATGTACCTAGATCATAACTTATTAGGATCAAGTGCAATAGATAGAGAAAAGGTCCTCATCTTTTTCATTTACATAAAGCAGAGGGGATTATTAACTTCAATTGAAAGCATGTTATAAAGCAAGTTGCACAGTACTGACCAACACAGTGTGGTATTGACTGCCATCTTCCATTTCTGCACACAATTTCTTCTGCTTCCTTAATCAGATAATTTTCTTTGCAAAGAACAGATACTTTTTGTCCGTCCTGATATTTCACTGTGGTTTTCATATCTTCAGCATTGGGAATCTGAGGTGGAGGTGGGCAGAAGTTTATCTCCACTTCTAGAAAATATTAAAATTAGATTTCTTGAATAAAAAATAGTAATTTAAATATATTAAAATACTTTTCAAAAATTATAACATTCAATAACTATGTATCACAAGTGATGATGTAGTTATGTTCCATGTTTATATATGTTATACTTTTCAATTTGGATGGCAGTTTAACATTACCTATTTTGATGGTCCTCCCATTTCTTCTTTTTTAAGCAAACTTCTTTATTTACAAGAAATTTATTATTTGTAATCTTTAGATAATCTTAACTGATTAATAGATTTTTAATCACAAGTATTAAATAAAGTATGCAATGAAGGTGTTTTTAGAAATATACATGAACAAATGTATTGGGACTGTATTAAAACCCTTTTGAAATCTACCAACAGAAGCTGATTAACTAGAGTAAAAATTTGAAGTCAGTTAACAATTTGTATTGCTTCTAGATCATTAACCATAATTGCAAATAATTTACAGTGTGCCATTTGAAGTTTCAACCCTTCTGAACCTACCATTTAGAAGCACACTTACATTGCCTAGGGGTATATAAATTCAGGGTATTTTTTCAGTTTAATGACTACACAGTTTAACTGTAGTTACACAATTAGTAGGGTATAAAATACCCCTCTGCAAACTTATATCTCAGTTCTCATGAAGCTAAATTCCTCAGATGTATCTTGATGATTTATAATGTGAAGATGAACTATATCCCTTTTGACTGGGAGAGGGCTCTGGATGAATCTGAAAGCAATTGGACCTCTGATTTCTTGAGCTTGCTTTCTCCTATTTTACTGTATTTTTTAGTTCATTAAAAGCCTTATGCAAGTGTACACTGGGAAATACTGTAAATCTTTTCAAGTGTTTGTTATGCTGTTAATAGCTCTTAGAGATATTTTACTGAATAAACTTGATTCATGATTATTATTTACTCCAAGGTTTCTGTTTCTGTTTAAGGCAATATGAATCATATTTTATCAATAATGTTTTCTAATTTCTATTCTTAAATATTTTGACATATTTCTCAATGCTTTCATTATATATTTTCATAATTTCATACATTTATTTTCCTCAATTATTAATAATATTTAATTATTCTTCCCATTTGCCTTAAGTGTGTTCTTATTTGGCTTCTAGATTGTTTTATATATTGCTTTTATTTTGTTCTTGGTATTCTAATGTATATTTTAATGCTATAAGTATCTCTGCATTAAATCTGTTCCATAGATTTCAGTTTATACTACAATTACTGTAATTTAATTTACAGTAATTTTTGGTAGTAAGCAACTGATAAGGAAGTTATTTGTTTGTTTTCCTATTTTACAAATTTGCAAGATGAGCATTTAAGATATGTAGTTAGCACTTTTCATTACTTTAATTTTCAGTTTAGAGAAAATACTTTAGGAAGTAGATTATTTAAAATTTATCTAGATTTCCTGTATCACACAGATATGATCAGTTTTTTAATGACCTGGCTACCTTAAAATTAGATAGTATAAAATTAGGATAAGTGTTTAAAAACTTGGAAAAAATATTTTATAACTATAAAAATGGTTACTTCACAAGAACAAATGTTGAATACATGTCTAAAAATATCAAAATACATAAAAATAGGCAGAAATAAAGAAGAAAAAGGCAAATCCCTAATCCTACATAGCAGTATTGACACTCTTCATGCTATGACTTACTGAACAAAAAGGTAAAAGATTTTGAAACAATATGGATAAATTTGAAAACCACTATTCACTTTAACCTTATATTACTACTAGAATATATGCATATTTTTAAAAAATAATTATTTTTTAGTTGTAGTTGAACATAATATCTTTATTTTATTTATTTATTTTTATGTGATGGTGAGCATTGAACCCAGGGCCTCACACATGTGAGGCGAGTGCTCTACTGCTGAGCCACAACCCCAGTCTCATAAATGCATATTTTAATGTGAAAATGGGGCTATAAATAAGATAGAAACATAGAGTGGAACTTTTTAAAGAAATCATAATATTGAAGTATTGCATAGTTTCCTGAGAACAGAATTAAATAACTACAAAGTCTGGTAAGAATAAGTTATCTACAAAAAATAAATATTTGAAAATCAAAGAGCACACTTCAAAATAATAATTGTTGGGCTAAAGGACAAATCACAAAGAAAATCATAATACATTTCAAATGGAATACCAATTAAATATAAATTATGTATAATATGTATACAAAATTTAACTTTATCAATAAATACATTTTTAAATAAATGTACATTTTATTTATAAAATACGTAGTTAGATATTCATATACATATTTATATAAGTAACTCTGGGACACAGCTAGGGCAGGTCTGTAAAAAGTGGAAATTTGAAGTTTTTATTTCAAATGTATGGTGATTTAAATACACACACTAATTTCTAACTTAAAATGGTAGCAGTGGGCTAGGGATATAGCTCAGTCATGGAATGCTTGCCTAGTGATGGAGGTGCAAGGCCCTGGATTTTATCCCCCATACCATGCACAGAAAAAAATGAATAAAATAAAGGTGAATGGTCACAGTAAAATTAAACTCAAAGTCTTTAGAAGGAAGAAAACCATAAAGTTAAAAAAAAATGACAAAATTAAAAAATGAGAAGACAGAAAGTTGGCAAAGCTAAAAATTAAAACTTTAAAAATCCAAATCTGAATGAGAGAAAATGGAAAAAATAGGGTGTTATTGGTTACTAAAATTATTAATATTAAAATTGGAGAAAACTGTTATGATTTGGCCCCAAACTTCCTGTGTTGGTGCAGAAATGTTTAGAGGTGAAATGATTTGTGACAGCTTTATCTTAATCAAACCATTCCAGTTTGAGTGGACTACATGGTAACTGCTAAAAGGCGGGGGAGGTGTGTCATTAGGAATATGCCCTAAAAGGATGTTCACCAAGCTATCATGATTTAAGCAATACTTCTCTGCCATGCTCTTCTGCTAGGATACCCTGCCTCATCTCAGGCTCAGAGCAATGGATATGGTCAACCATGAACTGAACCTCTGAAACTGTGAACCCCAAATAAACTTTTCCTTCCCTAAGCTGTTCTGGGGTATTTTCATCACAGCAATGAAAAGCTGACTAACAGAAAAATGATAAAGAATCATGATAGAGGACAACATATCAAGAATGTAACAAAGAAGTGACAGAGCAGGAATCCTCAATCCTCCTTTTCCCCATAGACACACTGGTCAACAATACATGAACCAATTCTGTTTGAGAGAAATCTACAAAGAGGTTGAAAGGTACTTAATGCCAGGTGAGTCCTAAACAAATGCATCAAAGCCAGTAGTAAAATTCATGTCTTTCCATATCCTCTCCCCCAGCACAGAGCTACACAATTGATAATAAAGTCCATTTCCAGACTTTTATTGGGCAAAGAAAGGAAGATTGGAGCTTGTGTTAATGCTCTGAATTTTCTGAAATTTTGTGTCAATTGTCTCAAAGCCATGATGCGATGGAATATACTTCAAATGCTCAAAGACATGCCCCCAGTGATGTGCCTCCTCCAGTCATATCTTACCTGTTTTTAGTCACCTGCCTCTATAAATTCTTTTTAAGCTGGAAGTACAGTACCGTACTTTTAGTCAGTAGTCTTTTCATATTAATAATCCATCAAATGGATTACTCCACTGATTAGGTTACAGCTCTCATTACCTAATCATATCACCTCTGAACATTCCTGCATTTCATACACATGAGTTTTTTGGGGACAACTTATCTAAAACATAAAAATAACCAATAAGCCAAAGAAGAAATCAAAAGAAAATTGAGACAGTATCTTGAGACACATGGAAATGAAAATATAACTTGCCCAAACTTATAGAATTCAGCACAGTAGAACTGAGAATTACATCACATCATGTACCAGTAGAGTTTTTCCTCAAGAATGGAAGATCTATGGGCTGCAGTTGTGGCTCAGAGGTAGAGCACTCTCCTAGCATGCGTGAGGCACCAGGTTCAATCCTTAGCACCACATAAAAATAAAATATTGTGTCTATCTACAACTAGAAATATAAATCTTTTTTAAAAAGAATGAAGGGTTTAGGATTCTTTATATGTATGTGTGCACACCAACATGTAAAATTCACTGTGTTTTCAATAAAGAAAATGTATTTAACATTATTCAACATCCCCCAATGATCAAATTTTCTTAGCTAACTAGGAACAGAAAGAAACCCCCTCAATTTGATAAACAGCACCTATGGAAATCCCAAAATAAAATGACACTTATGGTAAAATATTGAATGAAGAGTGCTGAAATAAATCAATACTTTCATAGTAATTGATTCTTTTTCATACATATTTCTTGAACAACTGGCTATGCATACAGAGAAAAAAATCAACTGCTACTTAATCCTATATTCAAAATTAATATAAGGTGATAAAACTAAATTCTAATACTATAAAGCTATAAAGCTTCAGGAAGAAAAATGTAGAAGAATGTGTGTGCTTCACTGCATGTAAATTGTTTCCTTTTATAAAGAAAATTATCACGTTGAAATATATGTCATAGATTTGTTTTTTTAATTGATATGGCAGTACTTCCTATATATTGGTATGGCAGACTGTCAAAACTATTGAACCTAGTCCTTATAATTATAGAGAAAAACACAGATAAAAACTGAAAGACTAGAATGCTCTTTGCTATTCAACTGGAATTGCAAGTGTCAGTACAACCCAGAATTTTCAAGGCAGATAGAGACAAAAATTACCTTCCAACTTAAAAAGAATTTATTTCAACACATAGCTAAATTTAAAAAAATACAAAATATGACTTTAATAAGTGAAGAAAAATATAATAAATTTTCAAAAACATTGTACACAAGAACTTACTTGTGCAGGTTGGTTCAGGGTCCCATCGTCCGTTGACACAGATTGAATGTTTCTGCTCCAACTTTCCCCTACATTGGTAACTGAAGTTAAAATTATGATTATATTCATTTTTATCTGATTGATTTGCTACATTTGCAGTTAGTCTTGGTGCTTGACACTTCTTAAGTTGATCTGTTGCTATAAAATGAAAATATTTCCATGAAAAGACCAATTATAAGAATCAAGTCAATGTAAAGTAGCTGTACAGTCAATATCAAATGAAATTTTGATTTATGCCTTTAAATTCTATCAACCAATTTATTCCTGGTCACCACTGCATGAGATGGGCCTTTATGTCCTATCTTTGAATGATCATATCTGAAATAAAGATATTTTGTACTTTGGTAACTGAAAGAGCACAAGAGACTCATTTTCTCAGAAGATCTGCATACTAAATAGTTATCAAAGGACTAGATTTGAAAAAAAATTTTTAAAAGACTAGATTTGGTTCCATATTTTAAATCTGTGCAAAAGATTCATACTTATTTGTTTTCCTGATTGCAACCACCACCTTATCTATAATCCAGAATCCTTAAATATTAAAATAAAAACATCCTCTATGGAAACATAATATAACAAGTTGTTCATTTAAATAGATTTTTTGAGAGTGCTAACATAATATAATAAAATCTATTTAAAATATATTTTGTAGGACATGAATAGTTAAGCAGATTTGTTATATGATGAGAGAGAGAGAGAGAGAGAGAGAGAGAGAGAGAGAGAATACTTGGAATAAGAAATTGTGTGCTTTCAATAGAAGTGTAGCTTGGTAGAGGCTGGCCTGTCATTTCCAGGCTCTAAGTTCAATCCCTACCTCATAAAAAGAAAAAGTAAAAAAGAAACCAGGTGCTTTAAAATCATAATGTCCCTTTTTCCATTCTTAGAGTCTTTGAGAAACTATTATATATATCAGATCATACTATAATCAAATAATATTATAATACCATAACAACAAAATTTTGCTGACTCTGTTATGAGTTCAATAAGTACTACAGGAAGCTTTCAATGTACCATATATTTCAATAACTCAGGTAAGATGAGAGTTATTTCTGAATTTGATAAAATGTCTATACTGGTCTCTGATAATATTGGTTATTAACAATTTGAAAAGCAGAGTCAAGTGAGGATGAACAGAGCAAAGAAAAATCAGTAACTAGCAAAGCACAGTAAGATTGTAAACCAATCTTTAAAAAATAATCCACAATGAAATGGGAAATACTTGAGAATTAGTCTTATCCTTGGAGCTGGTCCACTGTGTTGAAAAGGAAAAATAAGAGGTAGTAACTAAAGGAAGATCTTTGGTCAAGGGAAACTGTGATTGTGCCCTGGATTTTATCAGTTTCTGAAAGGATTTCTTTCATTTTGGTGAGTAAATAAATACATTGAGAAGCACGAAAAGCTAGAGTGGTGGAAAGTACAAAATGAATATTGAAAGGGTAGAATTATAGACCAAACTACGAGAGCTGGAAGGACTTATATGAAGCAGACTATAGGCAGTAAGCAGAAGATGACTCACAGGATGAAAAACTCTGAGATCAGAAGAAATAATAATTGTAGCAGAAGTTTGGGTATAAGTTAGAATGAAAAGTTGAGAGTTCTCGTGCCTAATATTAGTTTTCCTCCCATATGAAATCAGATAAAACCATTTGTGTAGGAAAAAGGATAAGGATGAAGTGAGATTCAAAAGGATTGAAGACACTTTTATTCACAGAATTGTGTTTAGCAAAAAATGTAAGGGTTAATAATTAACACAATTTATTGATTCATTTGACAAAAACTTAATAAATGCTTCTGTATGTCAATCCATCTTCATGTAATGAGAACAAAACAAAGGTAAGTCCTGTTCTGGAGGAACTCTACCTTGTTCTGAGATTAATTAGGTCTAGAAATCCGATGAATAAGTAAGACTGGATACCCAGGACAGACTTAAAATGAAGGACCCAGGGAAACTCTAGGAAAGAACTCAGTCTAAGAGAAAAGTGAAGAATCTTTCCTTTGGTCATCAAAGACTTGATCACCAACTGGGCAAGTGTGAAATCACTCAGTGATATTTGTTTCCTGACCCAACACCAGATGTGTAATGTTGCTAAGTTACTACTAACACCTGTGCTGCGGCTCATGAACTTCAGCTTGCTAACTTTGAAACTGAGAATTTATCTTTGTCAGAATCTCTGACAGAGAAAGATTCTTATAGGAAAAGATAGTAACAAGTGGGTATGCTATGGGCTTTATTTGTTTTCCAGGGCTTGAAAGAGAGAGCACCATATAGAACAACAACATATTGTTTTTACAATATCTATGTAAAATAGTTATATTTTCTTGGAAAGGAATATTCACATTTTAATCATGTGATTAAGTAAAATCTAGCTTTACACTTATAAGGTAAATAATATTAACAGGGATATAAACTTTAATAAATTCTATTACTACTTTTATTTATTTCTTCTGGAAACTCATATTAAATGCTGAGCAATAAAATTCATTATAGTTAAGACTAGACTTTTTCAAGAATATCTCTAATTTTATGAGTAGATTGCAAATATCTTTTCCATAAAAATTAAACTTCATTAAGTGTGAATTTGAGGAGGGCAGTCTTACCAACACACAGAGGAAGTTGGGTCCACATTCCACTAATACATGTAATTGATCTGTCTCCAATCATTGTAAAGGTTTCTGTACAATGGAACTCCACTGAATCCCCATGGTGATAAGGCGGGTCAGAAGGCTGGGCAAAGCCATGGTCCAGTTCAGGTATAGCTCCACACGTTCTCTCCTCCTCTATGTAAATTTCACAAATACATGTTGATAATGAAGACACAGTATGTATGCTTGAATAAATACAAAAGTGTTTCAGTTTAAATTTAATATTTTTAATATATTACCAATACATTTTGGTAAGGATGTCCACGTTCCATCAACACATTGAATCTTATTAGGTCCCTTCATCAAAAATCTAGGATTGCAATTATATACTACCACTTCATTGTGTCCATATTCTTCTTTCTTTGTTTCTTTAACTTCCCCATTGAATAGTGGAGGAGGTGGATGACATGACTGTACTTGATCTATAGAAGAAACAATGGTTAATGGTTAAATTGTCCCATCTTGCACTTAAAAAATCCAGAGAAATGGAGACATTTCTTTTTTAGTTGATTATTTTTCATATGATTCATTGTAAAATTCTTAATGAAAAATGAATTTTTACATTGTATTCATATTTCCATGTTGGATTACATCTTTTATAGTAGCATTGGAAATATTTTAAAGCTTTGAATATTTTCAATGATGTAGATATTTTGAAGATACATACAAACTTATAGCAAATGTGGTTGTGTAAATTATATTAATTTTTCATTCTATAGTAACATTTTATCATAACTTTTTGAGAAAGTATCATCAATGGGACAAGCATTTGATCAACATCTTTAACTGATTTTCTAATACACTCCACTGAGTTAACTATAAACTGCTTAAATATTGTTTAGATATACTTTATGAAACTTGAAAGAAGTCGTGTATATATGCCCAGTATTAATGGTAGCAGTGTAGGAAAAGTGGAAAGTAACAAAGTAAATCTCTCTAGTCTCAGCCACCATATTTATATGTATGAATACTTCTACTACACATTTCAAGAAATAACTGGTGATTCAATTCTTAAATAAACTAGTTGTGCTTTCTGCCACATAGCACATATCAACAACTTCATTAATTAGATTACAGATACAGTGGAAGCCAACACAAAATTAATAGAAGAAAGAAAAAAGGTTTATATTCAAAATTCTAATCTTTATATTTACAACAGAAAGATAAATATTCACCTTTACATATTGGGATATCCGGGGACCATCCAAAATGGTAGCATTGTACTGAATCTGGTCCAACTCTTGTAAGTCCTGATCGGCAGGAAAATTTCAACAAATCTCCAACTTTATATTTATCTTTCTTGGGATCAGCCATTAAGAATTTTCCCATTTTGGGAATCCTGCATTCCCTTTCTAAAATAAAAAATAAAATAATTTAATAAGAATATATAATTAATCTTTGACAAATTACATTTACATGTCATTTTAAAATGAGGTAGGTGTTCAGTGATGCATATACAGGACAGTATCAAACAAATCCTCTTCCTGGAAAAAATGTTACGGATTAGTTTTATTCACTGCCTAAATTTTCTCATCTAGGACTCTGAGAAATATAGTGTTATTGAATGGCATTATATCTCTCCTGTAATTTAACTTGCAAATTCAGGATTAGTTTTCACTGAATCTGGCTTACTATTGATATTTGTAAAATTGATTATTTTTCATATGATTCATTGTAAAATTCTTTATGAAAAATAAATTTAATGTTAAATTTAAATGTAAAATTTAAGGTTATATTTTTGTACCCTTAAAACACAGAATTATTCTCATATTAAATCAACCTGCTTTGTATAAATTTTTAATTGTAAATGTTTTTAAAAACTGGCTTTTCTTTTTAAAATAATTTAGAAAATAGATTATATTAAAATCATTTCTAATATATTTTTAGTTAGAGGAACATTAAAAATCATATAATTAATATATTACAAATAAAGAAAACAAACTAAGAAATAGTTCAAAGTCAAACTCAGGTGTCTTGAATCCTTGATTTAATATTCAACTATTTTATTATAATTTTTATTAATGATTATTAATTATTTTAATTCAAATGTGGAATACTGTATAAAATTCTCTCACATTTTTTAATTTTTAAAAAGTAGGTAACATTAGCAAATAACATTGAAAAATTATTTTTCTTATTTGGAATACCTCTTCCTTACAAATTCATAAAATTAAGGCTATAATTAAAAAATTAGAACCATGGTAGAGAGAAAATGCTTACTATCAAAATTCAAGTACTAAAACATTAATAAAATTAAATGTACAATAAAAACTATTCTTAAGAATAATGCTCCAAAAACTACAAGTTTTTTCTGTGGGGCTGGTGATGAAGCTCATGCTTAGCAGGTGTGAGGCCCTGAATCAATCCCCAGAACCCCAATTAATTTTGTAATTTTTTAGAGTATTGCAGATTACTTGAGAAAAAAAACTACACTTGAATGAGAGTCACCGGGATTCCGCTCCTTGAATTCTATTACAATCCTCTACATTAAAGTCATTTTGTCTTTGGAGGGGGTTTCAAGATGGCGGACTAGAGAAGTCACTCTTGTGGCTGCCCAAGGCATGAAACCAAGAAAGCAGACAGGTAGCTTCTTAGCAAGGTGGGTGTACAAAAAAAGAAAACAAAAACTGTGGGGGTGCTTTATTGGAATTTAATGCTGGACGTTCAAAGCAGATCAGGAACTCAGGAGGTTGTATAAAATAAAATAAGGAGGAAATCCCCAGCTCCACAGCCACTACCATAGCTGGAAGCACCAGCCACAGCAGTCCCACCATGACCAAAGTGGAGTGATAAGGGAATTAAAGGAGCCCACACTTGGGGTAGACTTGAGGCTTGTCTAGATATAGAAAGTTTAGAGATCAAAGACACTGCCCAACTAAACTGAATGGTCTACTTCAAGTATCCTTGTGTGGGAAAGAAGCTGCCATCTCCCAGACTTTATGCAGAGGACAGAAGAAAGAACCATTTTGCAGCCACGGTGTTGTGACCAGTACCCAGGAGAGCTGATTCCTGCAAAACCCAAGTTTGGCCCAAAATACAGGCCTGGAAAGCCCACACTCATTACATAAAGTGTGTCTAAGTAACCTGGAGAAAATCAAATGTGGAGAGAGGTTTACACAGAGGAGAAGTGGTTGTGGAAACCCCCTTTGCACTACCCCTCTCCCTCTAAACATGCTGCTTGCAGAACCAGCTAGAAGAAACATGCCTAGCTGGGAATTCAAAAAGGGTGGGGTGGAAGAGATTGGGTTTGGAGACTGAACCCAAGACCAGGAAGCATGGAATCAACAGGTGATGTAGGGGACTTAATATTGGCTTCTCGCCCACATGAGTGGAACCCAGGGGAGATCCCTGGGATGCAGTCTTCCAACATGGACTGAGGATTGCTGATCCCTGCATGATTTAAAGTCTCCAGACCAAGTGTCATTCAGTGAAGAACCTAGAGCCCACCTAAGTCTAAAGTCCGCCTTCAGGAATTCTACCTATGGGATTACCTCTCTCTCCCCAGCAATTCCACCTAACACTGCTGAGAAGGGAAGCTAAGAATCTTTTGAACTCCAGCAAACACAATGTTCATTTATCATCAAGATCTTTTTTTTTCTCTGTTAAATTGTGACCTTGAGTTATTCATGGACATTTATACATATACATATATATTGTTTTTCCTCCTTTATAGCATTTTTGAAACCAGTTATTTTTCATGGATCAGTATTTTGAGGACTAGGATGTTTGATTAGTATATTTCAGTTTTGTTTTCTATTCTTTTATTTTTATTTTTAATTTTAAAAACTTTTAACTTATATATGTATTTTTTCCTCTCACTTATCTGTTTCTCTTGATTTTCTTTCTCTCTTCTGCTAACAGACAATCTCCATTGTTCTACCTTCCACTCTTCCTTTAATTTTTTACTTCTATCTTCTCTCCTCCTCCCTCATAATCATTATATCCCACATCACTTTTGTTCTTTCCAGTCTATTATTTGAAATTGTAAACCCTTTTCCAAACATACTGTTTTTACTGTGGGCAATAACTGATCATGTAATTTCTGTTTATTGTGACATTTAGCATTGTAGATGTCATAATAGGAACTGTCTGGTTTAAAGCTATATATTGTTTGCATTGGTTATTGTGATTATTTGTTCCCACTTAAACAGTGAAGTACTGGAAATCTTCATGGACACTACAAGTCCACAAGGCAGAAACTCTGCTGCCTCAGAGCCAAATAGTCACATAGGTAGACACATAAACAACATGAAAAATCAAGGGGAACATATCGCCCCAAACAAACCAAGATACTTCAATAATAGAATCCATTAACACCAAAGTGGAAGAAATGTCAGAGAAGGAATTTAGAATTCCTTAAATTTAAATTAAATTTAGAAGGAATTTAATTTAGTTAAACTGATCTGCAAAGTAAAGACAATATAAGAAGTAAAATCAGAAAGAAAATACAGGAAGTAAAAGATCACTTCAAAAAAGAGAGATTCTGAAAAAAAATAAGCAGAAATCCTCTAAATGAAAGAATCAATAAACCAAATTAAAAATTCAATGGAAACCACCATGAGCATTCTAGACCACTTGGAAGACAGAGTTTCAGGCAATGAAGACAACATACATAATCTTGGAGATCATATTTCTGTGGCAAAAAGATGTTAAGATACCATGAACATAACTTCCAAGAAATATGAGATAACCTGAAAATTTACAATTTATTGGGATAGATGAAAGCTCAGAGATATAAACCAAAGGAATGCACAATCTCTTCAATGCAATAATATTAGAAAATTTCCCAAACTTAAAAGTTCTTTTTTTGTGTGTGTATATTTATTTTATGCTGTTTTATATAAATTCTCTATTTCATCATATTATAGAAAGCACTGCCCTTAACAAGAAAAAAATGATTTTGACTGTTGAGTACTATCGAACTGCTATATCTATACAGAGATAGTAACTAAATGTGTGATTTAAAGAGAAGTGTGAGTGAACAAACACTGGATGAGACATACTTGTCTTTGTCTAAATGTCCAAATCATATATCTTAGTGCTGATGAACAGAAATGTTAGTATAGATGTTTTTACTCTAAGGTGTTTACTACTTTAAGATTTCTGTAAGTCTGTTTTGCTTAAGTGGTTTAAGATAATAATGTAAACATGTCCCCATAGAAAAGAACTCCCAGGACATTTGAAAAATGTTGTATATCTGTCAATCTGTGTGCTGTTTTCTGCCACACAGCTGAGGCAAAAATACTAAGCTGTCATTTATTCATTCAATATATGGAGACTTACATCTCCTGGAAATGTGGTTATTAGTCTTCATAAAATTGGCAATTAAAAGCTACTTTGACTGAACTCGTTTCTATTGCTATGTCTCTGTCACTCTTACTTTCTCTCCTCTTCTGCACATCTTCACATTTTCCATGGCTAGTGACAGTGGAAAAGCAATGAGAATCATATATTCATAAGTCTCATTCAGTGCTGGAGATTGAATCCAGGGCCTTGGGCTGGGCAAGCACTCTACCACTAAGCTAATGCACCAGCCTTTTTTTGAAGATGGACACTTAGTATTGTAAAAGCTTCTGGCTGCATGTATCTGTTTATAATCACTTATATAAAACATACTAGAACTATTTTTATTAATTGGTTTATTATGTGCCTTAATTCATTGGATTTTGGATTGATTCTCTGATACTGCAATGAAAAATCCAGAAAGCAAACCTGGGTTTGTGGGTGTTTTTTTTTTGTTTTGTTTTGTTTTTAATCATTTTCCCCTATCTTACAAACGGAATTGCTTTAATTTAAATGGATTAAATTTTAGTGGATGCTCAATGCTGCCAATCAAGTCTCAAGGTGTGGTATCTTCTACTACCATTTAAATTTAAGCCTTTGAACATTACAAGGTGTTCCTCATCCTCTTTCCCTCATGCACTACTCAACCTCAATGCCCTTGTTTCTTACTTCAAAATACAATAGAATCATCAGTATCTGATTCTTTCCAGCATTAGATTTACACACTCTTGTTCTTTACTTCCTCCTGTTACAAAATTGGGTGGTCTTGTTGGCAACCAGTACCAGTATTTATAACAGGAGTCCCATATTGCCAAAATCTACCACAATTTTATAGTCTTCTAATTGGACATATCAAAGAAACTACAATAATAATGTAAGTAGATTTCCTTGGCTGCATTACATGACAGAAATATGGCAGAAAAAAAGGTTACTTGGACTATTTAGCCTACTAACCAAAACAATCCTTTTTATATGGCCTACAAGAGGCATTAATTTAACTCATTGCTTTAAAAATAGATTATTATATTTAATGTTGAAAATACCCTTTCCTCCCAGTTTGTTAAATTAGAAGGAACATCTTGATTTCATCTTGTTCTTTAGAAATATCTCTAGGTAATTCAAATTTCTAAAAATTAAACACATGCAGGATTATTTTTTATACTGAAAACAAAGAAAACAAATTTCTCAAACAGTACTTACCATAACATGTGGGTTTATGTGACCATCCATTTTCCTGACATACTATGGATCCTTTGGCACTCCTGAATCTGTTTTCAAACCCAACATTACATTCATAGTCCAACTTGTCTTTGAGTTTAAACCAGGTGGCATTACTTTTGGTTTTAGCATTCTCAAATGCTGGCATATCACAAGATTCTAATGCATAATGAAATTGAGGATTTTATTTCTATTGTAATTTAAGTGACAATACTAGTAAATCTCACCCCAAGAACACAGACTTTATAAGTAAACATGTGATTAAAATTAAGTACTATACAAAAATAGCTTAAGACCAGTGATAAATCATTTTTTCTGAAGGTTACTATAAATAAAAAATATGTTCCTACATAACCTTTTTTTGATTGCTTAAACCCTCTGAAAAGTTTAAAAACTTTAAAAGTTTAAAAAAAATTTAAAAACTTTTTAAAATTCTATTTTATTTAAGCATTTATCTGATGCTAGTATTAAAATAGTAATAAATTCTAGTAATAAAATAAATATGTATTACTTGTTTTAGAAGACTGGAATGGCATTTTGAGAATTAAGATGTCTGACTTATTAGTAGTTGTGACATAATAGAAGGTGGATTAATTAACAAAATTTAATGTATTTTAACTAAGATTTTCTATTTCTTAATAAGAAAGTTTCATAATGGGTTATTTATCAGAATTTAGCATATGATGATTTTATAAGGCAGCAATTTGTATCATTTTTAGCTAGTTGCTGTAAGCATAGAAATTGTAAAATAAGCAATAGAAATTAAGAAGAATGACTATCTTAGTCGTGTCATTTAAAGTATGTTAAATATTGCTTCCAAAATATTACTGAATAGCTTTTGTGTTTATTAAACACAAAGATAAATAGAAATAATCATTCCTAGAAAATCTTCATTAACCTTGGGTAGTATAGCAGGAAAATCTTTCAGCATAGCAAAAACTGGTACCATCTTGAAACATTTCCTCCTTTCCAATACCTAGATGTTTATGCAGATGTTTAAGGGGGAGGTTTTTCAGAAGTAGACCTATCTTACAATGTCAAACATATAAGTTATAAAGGTTAAAATATTCTGAGGTTATATACCAAGGTCCCATATTTTCACTAAGAACATTACTTGTATGTCTGGGAGAAAAGTCTTTGATATAAGAGGTTGACCACCTAAAACACAGTTATACCTAACAGTGACGAAGATCTCAGCTAAAATAAATGAGTTAGCACCAGAATACACATGAAGCTCCCTGAGTCACTTCTAAATCGTAGTATTCTTTAAAATGTGTGTCAGGGGAGGAAAGATGTACTTATGTTCTACCATACTAGAAATTCTGAGAAAAACAATGATGACATATACTTTTCATCAAATGTTTTTGTTTGCCTGTTGAAATGAAACCTCATAGTCACAATAAGAAAGAATAAAGTTAAACTTTAGTATATCATCAGGATAATGATACTAATATAATAAACCACTTTCTAACACAGGTGGTTGAGCTGACCATCCATCTTGGAGGCAGGTAATCTATCTGATGTATTACCAACTTCAATTGCATAACTTGGTTTGCATTTATATTGTGCTCTTTTATTTAGATTATATATAAAATCAGATTCAGAAAGAAACCCACTCTTAATTTCTATATCATCTTTTGAATATATTTCTAGAAGGGAACAGGATCAGGAAAAGACAAGCACATGTAATAATTATATAAAGACTCTAATAATATGACAGTGCAAAAATAATGAGCCATTTATGTCTAAATTTCTGGAATAATTATTAATCATCCAGGTTATTGTGCTAGAGAAATTAAGCAATGAGTTTCCAGAAATATTAAATAAAGGTCCTTAATAAAATACTTTTTTTTCTCTTTTTTTTGGGGGGGGGGTAACAAGGTTAGAATTAAACATTCATAATCCCTTCTGAGAAATTATAAGAAATTTCAATACAATTAATTACAATTATGTAATTAGATTTCCTTGGCTACATTACATGACAGAAATATGGCAAAAAAATTACATTGACTATTTAGCCTATTAACCAAAACAATCCTTTGTATATGGCTACAAGAGGCATTAATTTAACTCACTGCTTTAAAAATAGATTATTATCTTTAATGTTGAAAATACTCTTTCCTCCCTGTTTGTTAAATCAGAAGGAACATCATGATTTCATGTTTTTCTTTAAAAGTATCTCTAGGTAATTCAAATTTCTAAAAATTAAACACATGCAGATTTATTTTTTTATATTGAAAACAAAAAAATGAAATTTCTGAAACAATGAATCCAGGATCTGACAAAATGCCTAACTCCATAGACAATGTGTTTATTTTCCCTTAGGACTTGCTTCACATCTGAAAATAATTTGGGTTCCTTAGGCATCCAAACTTCATCTAGCCAATTGGGGTTCCTGAGATCAGGAAATGATCTTAAAGAAACTGTCAGCACAGTTACTCCTGGCTCCAAGAATTTGAAATGTCATCATAATTGTGTGCTTAAAACATAATGGATGCATAGAGTTCAAAGAAAATGACAAAGACCAACATATTTCTTGCTATTCTCAGGCTAAAATGATGATTCCTCAAATTACATATAACTTAACATGAAACTAAAAGTTGACATCTGTCAGTTATTAGGTTTCTTTCCATAATAAAGCCTCATGTGTATATAGATTAAAAAGGAAACAAAAAAAACATTAAATATATTTGACTGAATGATAATGAAAACATTAAATAAAACATAAACTGACAATTAGTGCTGAAAGGGAAATTTAGCATTAAATAGCTATAATTAAATTATTAAAGAATAAAAATCAATAATTTGTTCATTTTAAGAAATTAGAAAGAAGCAAACAAAAGCCAACATGATTATCAATTCTGGGGAAATAAAATAGCAGAAATCAATTGGAAAACAAATGAGACAAAGTAAACAAGCAAGAGTGATTTTGTACAGAAATAAAACTGATGAAGACCAAGCAAGAATAATAAATGGAAACAGAGTTCCAGCCACAAATAATGAAGAAACTGAACTAATAGTCGAAAATCATTTTTGTTGCAGACTGGAATACAAGCAGCACCACCTGAGGACAATCTCAGAGATAAAATAGGAGGAGTTCTCCTGAAAACAGCAGACAGGAAGAATCCAAGCAAAAGAGAGCAGTTTTGATAAGCAAAGGAAACAATAATCAGTGTTTTAAAGGAGATTGAGGTCACAAGAATTTTTAGGATAGAAAACCAAAGAGGAAGAAATCATAGAGTGAAAGAACTACAAATCTGCACAGCAATCCCCTAAATCCTTTAGCTGAATGCTGACATGTTGTAGGACAAAATTCCATGACACTGGGCAACAAAGAACAACTACCAGAGGGAAGAAAACCACTGGAGAATAAGGTCAAAGATTCCAGAGCACTCACACATTGGGAGAAATTCGATTTTGAATGGTAAGAGTAGAAAGAGCCTTGGACTAGATCATTTAGTAAAGTCGCCTTATTAATATTCTGAATAAACTAGTCCCGGAGTAAAAGCTCCCTGAACCAGTGTTAATAATACTAAAACAGATAAAAAATGTTCAAATAAACTTAGTTTTTCAAAACAAAATTCAAAACAGGTGATCCAGGATGGGGATGTAGCATTTGCCTAACATTTGTGAGGCCCTGGGTTCAATCCCCAGTACTGCAAAGAATAAAAACAAAAAACAGATAAGTTTCCAGGTCTCCAATCCCAAACACCAAGAAGTAATGACAAAGAAAAGCCTGTTTCTTTCAGTCAGAAGATAGAAGGAAAGTGAAAGAAAAAACAGTTTTGTCAATATCTACGTCCCACCCCACATACACACAAAACAAAACTATTTGGGTAATGTTCACTCTTCTCCAACCACACATCAATGTACAAACCGTGTATCAAAATTCTGGAGTGCCACTGAAGCAATATGGAATGAATTGATGACACTAAGTATCTGTACAGAAAGGATTAGGGTTCCACATCAATTACTTTAGCCTGGGGGGTGGGGCTGTTGTTGTTGCTCAGTAGTAATGTGCTTGCCTCCCATGCGTGATGCACTGGGCTCGATTCTCAGCACCACATACAAATAAATAAATTAAAGGTCCATCAACAACTAAAAAATATTTTTAAAAATTACTTTAGCCTCTATCTTAATACATTAGCAAAAGAGGAAAAAATTGAATATGAAGTGTGCAGACAAAAGGAAACAACAAAAATTTGAACTAAAATAATAGAGCAGAAAAAAGGAATATTACATGTAATATAGAATACACATTACATATTATGTTATGTACGCACAAATACTATATATTAATACATGATATATTTAATATGTAACATATAAACATAATATGAATAAACAATAAACATAATATACATTTATTAAATGAATATACATGATATATAGAATATACACATATATATACACATACACACACATAAAAATTAGAAGTTTGTTATTTTAGAAGGCCCCTAAAATTGATTAAAGTTTTAAACAGGAAATAATAAAAGGAAAAAAAACAGAGAACATGCAAGTTACCAATAATAGCAATGCTAGGAATGGCCTCACTAGTTTTTATGTATATTAAAAGACCACAAAAGGAATATTTTGATTTATGTCAATGAATATAACAACTTAGTTGAATTAACTGAGTCATTGAAAGCCACAGACTACCACAGCTCACTCAAGAAAAAATAAATGACATTAAAAATATGAGTTATATGTCTAACAAATTACAGATAGGATCTTTATGCTGAAACCCACAAAACCAAGGTGTAAGTTTTCAAAGAAAGTATAACTAAATACAGATATATATTTATGAATTGAAACCCAATAATATTATATTGATAACATATATATATATATACATGCATACATTGTATGTGTGTATATCTCAGTCTCAATAAAGAACCAAGCAGTATTTCATATTTCTTTTTTTAGTGGGTGGATACTGGTGATTGAACTCAAGGGCATTCAACCACTGAACTACACCCCTCAGCCCTTTTTATATTTTATTTAGAGACTGGATATCACTGAATTACTTAGTACTTTGCTGTAGCTGAGTCTGGCTTTGAACTTGGAATCCTCCTGCCTCAGCCTCCTAAGCCACTAGAATTATAGGCATGAACCACTGTGTCTGCTCATATTTCTGAAAAAGCTGGTTCTAAAAGTTA